TTTTTTTACTTATGGCTGATCATTTGGTATATAGCTTTTGAAACGGTAAAAAATTGGCGTATTTTACGATATTTAAACATTGGCGTATTTTACGAATTTTAATTAAATAAGTTACAACTCATAACATTACATTTTTAAGGTTAATTTATCCAATTTTAAATGAAATTTTGTATTGAACAAATACAATATATGATTGGTATATCGATATACTACGTACAGTCAACCCTCGTTAATATCAACCCATTTGGATTAGACAATTATGTTGATATATACGAGGGTTGGTAATAACAGGATAGTTTTATATAGCCTGAGCTTAATAAGAGGTTGAAGATTGATATTTTCGGGGTTGATATTAACGAGGTTGACTGTATAATAATTACACAGTATATATACAATATATAAAATATATAGTTGCTAGAAATATGTAATTATATGCCAAGACAATAAATTCTAAATATGACTCGTACAGCCAAGTTGATTTTTGAAAATAAATATAAGTTCAGGTATAATTTTGTTTATAATGTCAACAATCCAAAAATACGCTTTTCTTAAAGTTATTAGTAAGCACAGTGAAGGGCATATTAACACTTTATCGTGTTACAAGATAAGCTTTCATTAAACACAATTAGTGAATGGACACCAAAGTCAACAAGATAGAAAATATGCATTTGAATTAGTTGGAAAATAATGATTCGCCAGTAAGTACAAAATGACGTTTTTATTAACAAAGTAATCAGAAGAAAAAGAATTCAAGTACAGCACTTAATCAATCAAAATTCATTCATCGTAGTCCTCTTCTGCTCTATTTTTATCAATATTAAATCTTTTAAACGTTTTTTTCTCTTTCTTTCTAAATTCACCTTCTCCGACCCTTTTCAAAATTGCAAAATACAAGGGACCCCAACCATCACACTTATCCGGTAAGACAATCCATCCTTTCTCACATGGTTCTCCTATTACCCACTCTCTCTTAACTTCTTCTAAAGGCACCCAACTATTCTTTAATATTTTCTTTACAACTTCTTCATTTTCCAACTTATTTATCGAACAAGTAACATAAACCAATAAACCACCAACATGTATACCTTTAACAGCATCTAGTAGTATTTTGTATTGTTTTTGAGACATAATTTTAGATCGGGACGGTTTCCATTTTAAAAATTCGCTAGGAGAATGTAATAAATGACGTTCAGCGGAACACGGAGCATCAACTAAAATTTTATCATAAGTAGGCAGTGAGAGAGTTAAATCTAATGATAAAATGTTTATATGATGTTGTAATGAAGATGGAATGTAATCAGTTATAACTTGTTTTAGACGTCTACATCTACTAGGAGATAGATCATTTGCTGTTAGGAATCCACTATAATCCGTATTATTACTGTTGTGAATAATGGAAGATAACAAATATTGGAGGATGACAAGACTTTTTCCACCAGGAGCAGCACATAAATCTAATATGACATCAGTAATATTTAAGTCAAGTGCTTTAACTACCATAATACTTGTAGCATCTAATAAATAATAGTTCAGTATCCCATTTTCATCCTTTTCTGGTTGTTTAAACCTTTCAGAAGAAATGTAGCAAGGCAAATCGAGAAATGAAACCTGTTCAAGATTAGGAGTAGTTGATAAAAACGATTGGATGTGCTTAGGAGAGGCGAATTTGTTGACAAGTGCGCAATATTTGGTAGGATTTTGTAAAGATTGAAAAAGTTTTTGCCAACGTTCCTGTCCATATTGTGATGAATAGAAAGAAGAAAATTGAGAAAGAGTTACGGAATGATGTAAAGAATGTTTCAAGACAAGTTTTTTTTTGTTTTTTGAAAGAGAATTAAATTTTTCAGAATCGATTGGTTGAGGTTGTTTAAAATTGTTTAATGTTCTTGTAGAACAAAAACCTTTAATTAATTTCGATCCTAATATATGTCAAAATATTTTTGATATTCTTAAAATTTCATGTTTTTATTTTTTAATAAAAATAAGAGATTGCAAAATCAATACTTACCCAAAAACCGCCTAAAATTCATCGGAGATTTTATTGTTATTCGAAATTTGACAAAATCCATATAAAAGAACCTTTATAGAACTAAAAAAAAAAATAAGAATGCATATTAAGAAAATCTGATTGGCCCAAATCTTGTTATTTAACAATTAACGCTAAGATTAAATTAAGCATGTTTTAAAATTTTAGTTAGATAAAAATGTAAAATTCCTTATATATATATACTATAATGAACATATCGTCAAAGATCTGTTTGTTATTAGAACTTTTTTTTTTATTTTTATCTTTCTTTTTTTTTTTTTTCAATAATTACGCTAACAATGCCTGATAAATATATAATACTAGACAAATTTTTGCGAATGCATTAGTCGTTTCGAAAGTTTCATAGAAATGTCAAGGCATGGCTATTGTTATTTTCAAACGCAACGATAGAACGTAAAAAACGGTTAAAGTGAAAAGAAAAACGATTGGGCGTAGAAAAAAACGATTAAATGAAAAAAAAAACGATTGAGTGAAGAAAAAACGATTAAATGAATTAAATGTAGAAACGAAGAGGCTGACATTTTCATGTAAATGACTAAAGCAAATTAAAGACGAAGCTTTGTAAACAAGATTTAGGAATCATCCGCCAAAAAAGGTATCGAACCGGTTAAACCAAGAAAAGAAAATATGTATGTACTATATAATCATAGGATTAAGAGACCCGAATTTGGTTCGTGCTAAGAAACACATCTTTTATCTCCTTGGTTTAGGCCTTCGAACTCTTTCAACGCTTAATGCGATACCAGTACAACTGTAAATAAAAATAAACAATTAATATATTCATGTTAAGAAATTAAAATAACGGGATCTGCAAGGCTGGCGTCTGCCCATGCCTAAAAAAGGCCACGCATAAGCACGAGCGCAGGGCGCCTAAAGTTGTTGGGCACTTTTGTAAACGCAGGCACCGAGTGCCAGGCACTTTGTAAGCATAAAGAGCTGGTCTAAATTACTGGGCATTAGGACACAAAGTGCTTGGCCCAAAGATGTCTGGAACTTTACATTTCGTGCCTACAAAATGCCTGAAATTTTGTGTCTATGGGTACAGGCAACATCTCCCTATTCCCAGCGGAATTTGTAGATCCCTAATCAATAATATTAGAACATAAGATACAAAACTCACCAGACTGCACCTTCGCTTACTGCAGCATGATACGCGGTTTGTGTGGCGAAATCGGCAAATGCACAAGCCTGATTGGAATAATATAAGTGTTAATTTTATTTCTCAAATTAAAATGTTTTATGAAATTCAAATAATACTTACTTTAGAAGGTATCATATCGATATTTTCAACGGCACCAAAAGCGTCTTCGAGACATTTCTTTAACGTTTCTTTGTCAATCCCATCTGTAATGGATCCAATAAAAGCTCGACAACTTTTAGAAACTAAATTACATTAAATCGAAATCAAAGGATCCGCAGCAATATATATCCTTAATTCTATATATATATATTTTGTTTTTTTTAAAAAAAAAAAAAGAACCTTGATCAAATAATGATATAAACCTTGTTTTCCACGGGTTTTAGGCGCTGTAACCTTACTATTTAAATCAAAAGACGAAGATGTTCCTAAGTGGCCAAAATTGTCGCCTTGTTTACGTGATGATCCTGATACAAATGGACTTTTCTGTGTCAAATCCTGAAGAAGCTCGTTTTGAGACTGAACTATTTTTTGATATTTGTCTACGATAGCTTCTTTTTGTTCAAGTTGCGCTCTAAGCGCTTCGCAGTTTCGACAGGGCTTTTCATTCGAACCCATATTTTGAAATTATATCGTATCGTTGCGACGGAAATTTTGTTTCAAAAAGACCGAGGAGACCAACTAAAAGAAGTGGATAGAGGCTTACAGATTTTTTGGTGCTATTTAATGAAGCTTATATAAGTGCATGAGTAAGGTCAGGTGATAAGCATTTGGTGACTTCAATGAATAATAACGTGAGCAGTTGATTCGTTTGTAATATGCACGTCAATATCAGTAATGCAATCAACGATCGGGAAATTGTTTATGATCCGGCAATTTGCACAAGGACGCCACGGAATTTCATTACAAACCCCGAACCCATTTTGAAAATAATACAAATAAAGACGTGAACGTCATATAGTAATTACTTGCAGCTAATTACAGAATCCAAAGTTGTCAATGCAACCGATCAGCACTTAAGATCGATTGGCCCTTTATAGAATCAATGAAAGAATACATGTTTGGTCGAAAAAAAAAACCAATTGTACTGCGGAGTTTCAAGGTTACTATCATCGTTCCGATCTGTACCGTAGAAATGGTAGTGATAGTGATAGTAACAGTATCACGCAACGACTCTAATTAGTTAGTGTCAGGGTAAACCTCACGCGAGTCTAGAATTAGCATAATAATTCAACGTGAATCTAGTTTGCCTTTTACGTATTTATTATTATTATTGTCAAATATTTTTTTTTGTGTCACATAGAAACAAGAAAATATATTCTCCTTATTCTCATCATTACATAATGTTGTACCTAAAATTTAGCAATGATTTTTTTAAAGTTATATAAATCAATCATTTAAGATTTTTTTTTTCTTTTTTGATAACGATAAACGTTTTCGTGAATGTTTTTTAATTTAAAACAAAAGAACATATGAACTTCAACCTTGTGTTAAAAGAACCATTGTAATTGGCTTATTTCATGAAATTTGGGTTGCACAATTGTCGCACTATGGTTTCACCAACGAGGTATTTCGACCGCGCGCTTAATGGAATTTGAATTTCTTTGCTTATTATAGTAACTGCTGGTATCAATATTGCAATCCGTTTTTATTTTAAAACGAAAGATAAGTTGATCCACATAAAGCATTTATTGGAGATAAAGAAGCATAAAAAGGTTCATGGTTTTTTCCGCTCCCTCTAACTCTTATCCAAGATGCAACGATCTTTGTTCCCATTCATATTAGTTCCTTTGACTTTATTAAGCTGGCTAAGAGCCTATCTTATATATCATGAGGCGGTTGCCGGTCTTTATGGTGTTCAAGTAACGGACTATTTCAAGAATGAGTCGACCGAGTTGCCAACGTTTGATAATCTTACAATTGATGACCGACCGGAAAATATCTTCCATTTCATACAGGTTTTTATTATTGTTTAGGTTTTTGCTCAGGTTTTGATCGCTTAATGTTTTCGAATTCTCATGCTAATGTTATTATTGATTTAGGTATCAGATCTACACATATCCAAATATTATAAACCTGGCGGTGCTTCTCATTTTTTATACTTTCTTTCCTCTGCGCTTCCTGTTGTTTCGCCCTCTTTTGTGCTTGTAACTGGTGATTTAACCGATGGAAAAGGACAATATAATGGTAGATCGCATCAGATAATTGATGAATGGACAACATATCAAACTGCATTACAAGTATGTTTCCCAAATATATCAATATATCATACCTCTTTTAGATTTCTTTTTAATATTTAATTATAGGAATCTGGTGTTCTCAATCGTACAAACTTTTGGTACGATATGCGTGGAAATCACGATTGTTTCAATGTGGGCTCTTGGGATAGTGACCATAACCTATACAGATTATACAGCGTTGTAAAGAAAAGAGGTTTTGATTTTACGGTAGAAAAAAACTTTGGTCGATATAGGTTCATTGGAATTGATGCATGGTGTGTTAATTTTCTATGATTCCTTATATATAGAGTATATATATATATTTATATATATAACAGATTTATTCTTTAAAAAAAAAAAAAAAAAAAAACCTTATTACTTTCTCTAGCCCAAAATCTGGCCCTTCAAGACCTTATAATTTTTTTGGCTATTATGAGATCAATGATATGGATCGACTATCTGAAAAGTTATTAGATTCGTCTATAAAATCGAATCATACTTTCTTGGTAATATTCATTTCATTATATCTAAGCTTACCAAATTTATAGCTCTCTTGATTGAATTCGCTGATTTAAAATATTTTTATTTTATATTAGCTCGCTCACTATCCTAAGGCTACATTATTATATGGAAGAACTTCTAAAGGTGAAACTTTTGAGGACTTATCAAATCATATCAGCGTTTACATGTGTGGCCATTTACATAAACTCGCTATTGGTGAATATTTTTACTTTTCAATGTTCAATAGTTTAAAAATTGGATTACATGATATACATGACATCTTATTATTCTTTCGTTTTCTATAGGTCTTGGTGATCACTTACAGATATATCGACCTACTAATTATCTAGAGTTAGAACTAGGAGATATGAAAGTTAATGCTATTTATCGTATCTTAGCTATTGACCATGATTTAGTCAGCTTTATTGATGTTCAATTACCTCTACCCGAAATTCCTCTAAGAACCCCTCCGCCACCGGCGGTTGGTTTTTCGATTTTGCCTGAAAAATTGTCCTATCCACCGATCATATTAATTACTAACCCTAAAGGATCCGCATACAGTATGAAATATCGTGAGCCTGTACATAGAATAAAATATAGTACACATATAAGAATGTTAATATTTTCAGATCATAATATAGATAAGATTACCATCTTTTTGGATGGAAAGGTACATGATCAAGATGTGAATTATAAGGGAAATTCTAAGAATGATAAAGAATATTTACCCCTCTGGACTTCTCAATGGGATCCTTCGAACTTTGACGATGATAAAGATCATGTAATTGTTGTCAAAGCCCTTGATACTTCGGGTCAAGTAGGTGAGAGTAGGGTAATCTTTCGTGTAGACGGTAAAAGGAGTAATATGAACGGTGGCATTGGTGAAGTTTTAATAGGTCTAGATTGGGCCGCAGTGGTAAGCTTTTAATTATTTTTAATTATTCAGGGGGTTTATAATAAATATTAATGGCAACGTACCTTATTGACTATCCTTTTAATAGGCTCGATTTGGCTATATGATTTGTCATGTAACACTCACAATTTACATGCTTGCTACGAAATTATACGTTACTTATAACCCGGACCATCCTTTGATTGTTTCATTTCATGCTTCCAAAAAAACACTTACTCGATCCTATTTTCGTAAAACTTTCTTATTGGTTTCTCAACCAATCTTCTTTTATACCCTCTATTTTTATCTCCTTGCGATCATAACAATGCCATTGTTTATAGGTAACTTGGTACCATCATTACAACAAGGTGGTTATGGCTTGTTCTGGTTATACGGCATACAATTTTTCCGTAATTTAAGGTGGCTACCATTAGCCGATACATGGAGGCATGGTGCAGCAGATTTTGTCTTTTCAATTATGACTGTTATAACATGGTTTGTGATTATTACAGGTGATAGGAGATGGAGAACAAAATGGCTAATGTGGGGAATTATACTTTGGCTATGGAGAGGAATCGAACTATATAAACTGTCTCAGATATATGGACATTTCGTCTTTTGGGCAAATATACAAACATTTTGGTGGCTCTTTTGGGGTTGGTATGGAATCTCAAAAGGAATAGTAAGCTAATTTTTGTTTTTTCAAATGTATTATAAAGTTTTTTATTTTCTGTGACGTGTTTTATATAAATAGAACTTCAAATGTGTATTATTGTAAAGTTTGTGCATTGTTTCTATTTATGTTTATATAGTGAATACATGAATCACATTTCTTTTTGATGATATGTATATATTTGTGGTATTTTGGAAATATCCGATCTTTATATATTAAGAATAAGTCTATTCTATTAAAGGTTAATCTATTACATCGTTATTCATGGAATCTCCCGGTTGCAAAACAACATTACTATTTGTAAACTTATGGCTAAAGTTGTTCGGAGATTTATGTACAGTATTATATTTAATTCAGTTTTCACTATTAACGTCTCGCATGAATTAAACTTTTACTAATTCTATATTTAAAAAAAATGTAATGCTGTGTGACAAAGTAAGGGTGGATTTAAAATTGAGTTGTGTCAGGATAAATGAGTTTTGAGATGCGTAAGACTAAAATAATTGACTTATGTCGAACTAAAATTTTTAAATTTTTTTGCAACGATATTTGTTTATTTGACAGTTTTACATTAATGCTTCCGTAGTATACTAGAATTCTGATTTAGCGTTGCCTCTTTAACAGATATAGTTCTGGGCATTTAGTTAATAACGAAAAGTAGATGTACGTTATTATTTGATCATTTACATTAACAGATAAGTATAATAAAAATTTATTTTATATATACTGCTATATACTTATGATATTTATAGTTAATTTCACAATGCCTCCTGGCCGAGATTAATTTAGAGTTTTTGACCCAAATGATTTGCAACTTTGACAAAATTATAAGTATATAATCTGTTATACTATTTAGATCACAATAAATTAACCCTTATATAGTTACTTTAGATATTTAAAGTAGCTATATATTTTAAAATATCTATATACGTACTTCAAATATTCGAGGTTACACTATCTAAAGTATATAGCTACTTTAGATATCTAAAGTAGCTACTTTAAATATTTAAAGTAGCTACATTAGATACGTAAGATATCTAAAGTAGCTACTTCAGACATCTAAAATCGCTACTTTAAATATCCGAAGTAGCTATTTTAAATATCTAAAATAGCCACTTCAGATATCATCTAAAATAGCTACTTCAAATATCATTTAAAGTAGCTACTTTAGATAAATCGCTACTTCAGATGCAACACGTACGTTGGAATGATTATTTAGGTTGATTCCAAATAAACATATGTTGTAATAGAGTTCTAAATTGTACTCAAGTTGTTAAAGAATTCAAATTAAACTTAAGTGGATTCTAAATTATCGAGTATATTGTAAATCCCTTAAGATTTACGCATCGAGTACACAGGAGTTTGATTATAAGGTTTGTTGATATTTCAAAATAACGTATATGTCGCGTATCAGCCAAGGATAATCTTAAGGTTAAAAATAATGTGATAACAATTTGTACGTATTTATTATAATTTACATTAAATTTAATATATAGTATATCTCAAATTTAGAATAAACTTAATTAATGGTGATAGAAGTTAAATAATAATATAATAAAATCCAGAAATTCCCAAAATATATAGTTTTTATATAATTATAAAGATAATTTTGCTTATATCTTAAACTAATTTTAATATTTTTTTTTTATTAAAATTGTAAAAATTGTTTTTACAATATAATTAAATAGTTAAAATAAATTTACTTAGTAAAAAATTATTTTGATAGAGGGCAAAGACAGATTTCTAGTATTATAAAAAATTATAATAAATTTCCCCAATTTTTACTATAGTATTTTAAACTTCTATCGCGAATTACTAATTAAGTTACTTCTAAGTATCAACTTGGGTTGCATTTTCAATCTAAGTTCATAGACAGAAGTTCGTCTGATTGGCTAATGTAAATCAATTGCCCGGGTAACTTATTTATATGCTTTAAAGTACT